GTTGTAAAGTTCCTATATATCCTAATTCCTTCCCTCCTCTTTGGAGCAGTCCCTCTGAGAGATCTGAGAGGCTATCATCCCGGCTGAGTCCTCCAGCCAAATAAAACATAACTCTCAACTTTCAGGCTGCGCATTTATTTCAGTTGACAATGTTATCAAATTTCACAAATCAGAAAAAAATATATCAAACCCATGAAAGATGCAAACTACTACAAGTTACATAAGGAAAAATAACCCAAATAGCCTTAAATATGCTTAAAAAACTGAAAAACTAGTAATTTTGTAAAGCTACAGTCCCAGATGGTTTTACCAGTGAATTTTACCAAACATTTATTACTTAAATGACACTGTAAATAAATATTTCACAGTATTTTCAAGAAAACAGAAGTAGAGGGATAACTTAATAACTCATTCTGTGTGCCAAGTAGTATTTTAATAGTGAAACCAGATAAAGAGATTAAGAGAATAATACAGACCAATAACTCTTGTGAACAGATAAAATACTCCTTGACAAAATATTAGAAAATAAAAGTGATACATAAAAAGTATTATGTATCATGATAAAGCAGTGTTCATTCCATTAATGGCAAACTAGTTCAACACTAAGTTCATTAGCATAATTATCCTATTAGCACACTGAATAAGAAAAGCCACATGACTATATCAACAGACATACAAAAGCATTTAAGAAAAATAAAGAAACATTCATAAAAACTTTCACAAAAAACTAGGACTAGAAGGGAACTTTCTTAATGAAATAAAAGGTATATATAAAAATGTAAATCTAACATCATACTTAAGGTAAAATTGGTTTAAAAAAAAAGAAAAAAGAAAGAAAGGAATCAAAGTGTTCCCTTAATCATAAAGCAAGACAGAGAAGAAATGAACAAAGGAATTACAAAACAGAAAACAATTAATAAAATGACAGTAGTAAATCATTACCTGCCGGTAAATACATTTAAATGGATTAAATTCACCAAACAAAACAGACAGAGGAGCTGAATGGGGAATTTAAAAAGGATCCAATAATATGCTGCCTACAAGAGACTAGCTTTGGTCTAAAGACACATCTAGGCTGAAAGTGAAGGAATAGAAAAAAAAAATAAATAAAACTATTCCTTTGGTAACCAAAAGAAAGCAAGGTGGCTATACTTATACTAGACTACACAAACTTTCAATGAATATCTGTCACTAAGGACAAAGAAGGCCACTAAATAATGATAGAGGAGTCAATTTACCAAAGGACATAAAAATTGTAAATATACAGGCACCCAACATTGGAGCACCTAAATACATAAAGCAAATATTAATAAAACTGAAGGATAAATAGATAGCAATACAGTAATAAAGGGGGACTTCAACAGAATGAAAGACAAAAAACACATGATCTTTTCAAAATATGCTGAAAAAGGATTTAACAAAACTCAATACAATTTCATTATAGGAACTCTCAACAAATTAGATTTAGAAGGAATGTATACAATAGAAGGAATGTGTTTGAATATAATAAAGGCTGTTAATGACAAGCCCACTACTAATATCATACTCAACACTGAAAAGAGAATTTTCTCTAAAATCAGAAATAAGACAAGCATGCCACTTTTCCTACTTCTGTTCAAAACAATACAGAAAGTCCTAGCCAGAGAAATTAGGCAAGGAAACAAAATAAAACCCATGCAAATTGGAAAAGAAGTTAACATTTTTCTGTTTTTCTTACATATAGAAAACCCTGAAGTCTCCACCAAAAACTGTCAGATCTAATAAATGGATTCAGTAAAATTGCAGGATCCAAAATCAATAGATGAAAACCTTGTTCATTCCTGCATACTAAGAACAAGTTTCCTGAAAAATACATTAAGAAAACAGTTCTATTTATGATAGCATTAAAAGTAATAAAATACTTGGGAATAAATTTAAACAAGGAGGTATAAGATCTACATACATACTAAAAACTACAAGACACTGATGAAAAATTTGAAAAAGAAAGATCAATGGAAAGCTACCCATGTTCATGAACTGGAAGAATTAATACTGTTAAAATATCCATATTACCTAAAGCAATCTGTAGATTCAATAGAAACCTTATTAAAACTCCATGACATTTTCAAAGAAATAGAAAAAGTAATCAGAAAGTTCATAAGAATCAAACAATACCCTGAATAACCAAAGCAATCTTGAGAAACGATAACAGTCTGGATGCATCACACTACTTGATTTCAAACTATATTACAAAGCTATAATAGTCAAAACAGTATGTTGGCATAAAGACAGACACATAGATCAATGGAACAAACTTGAGAGCCCAGAAATAAACCCATGCATGTTCAGTCAACTGATTTTTGACAAGAATACTAAGAATACACAATGAGGAGAGTGTACTCTCTTTAATAAATGGTGTTGGGAAAACTGGAGATAATATATAAAAATATATATGGAAGAATAAGGACTTTTATCTTATACCACAGATAGAAATTAACGTGAAGTGGATTACAGTCTTAAATAAGACCTGAAACTCAAACTCCTAGAAGAAAACAGGGAGAAAACTCTTTCATATTGGCCTTGATTATGTTTACTTTTCAATACGACACCAAAAAGCACAGCAACAAAAGCAAAAATAAACAAGCGGAACAGCATCAAACTAAAAGGCTTCTGTACATCAAAAGAAATTGTCAATGAAATGAAAAAGCAATCTATGGAATGGGGAAAATATTTGCAAATCATATCTGATAAGTGGTCAGTATCCAAAATATATAAAGAATTCATACAACTCAATAACAAAAAATAAAATAAAATAACCTGTTTTTAAAAATGGGCAAAGGGCTTGAATAGACATTTTTTCCCAAAGAAGACATACATATGTCCAATGGGTATATAAAAAGGTGCTCAAGGTCACTAATAAGCAAGGAAATGAACATTAAAACCATAATGAAATATCACCTTACATCTGTTAGAATGGCTATCATCAAAAAGACAAGGGATAATAAATGTTGATGAGACTATGGAGGAAATGGAACCCTAGCACAGTACTGGTGGGAATATAAATTAGGACATCTATTAAAGAAGACAGTATGGAGGTTCTTTAAAAAGTTAGAAATAGGATTACCATATGATTTAACAATCCCATTTCTGGACTGAATGAAATTGAATGAAATTAAATCAGTAAATTCAGGAAATATCTGCAATCCCATATTCATCACACCGTTATTCCCAATAGGCAGGATAGGAAAATAACCTAATATGTAATGGACAGATCACTGGATAAAGAAAAGATGGTTTATTCATACAATGGAATATTATTCAGTCATGAAAAACAAGTCCTGTAATTTACAACAACATAGATGAATGTGGAAGACATTATGCTAAGCAGGATAGTCATACATAGCAGGACAAATACTGTATGACATCACTTGTATGTGGCATCCAGAAAAGTTAAGCTAATAGAACTTAAAGAGGACAACATATTTACCAGGAATTGGGGGTGGGGAAATTGGGGAAATGTTGGTCAAAGGTACAAACTTTCAATTATAAGATGAATAGGTTCTGAGGATCTAATGTACATCATGATTAGTATAGTTAATAGTATCATATTGTATACTTAAAATCTGCTGAGAGAGTAGCTCTTTAGTGCTCTCACTACATGTAAAAAAAAGAGTTATATGTTAAGTTAAAGGGTATCTTAATTAACCTGATTTTGGTAATCATTTTACAACATATGTACATTAAATCATCATATTGTACAGCTTAAAAATCATGCTGTACCACCTCAATATATCCAATTTTTATTTCTCAAATATATTTCCATAAAAGTGGAGAAAAAAGAAAACAATAAAATTTTTAAAATGAGCTAAAGATTTGATCAGGCACCTCAACAGACAAGAGACACTAATGTCAAATGAGCATATCAAAAAAATATAAAACATTATTTGTCATTAGGGAAATACAAATTATTATAAGAATGAGATACAACTACATACTTTCTAGAAAGGCTAATTAATTTTTAAAAAGTTGCCAGAAATGTCAATTGCTTACAAAGAGGTAAAGCAGAAGGAGCTTTCCCTCACTGTTTCGGGAAGACCCACCTTGAAAATAGCTTGGCAGTTTCCTACAAAGCTAAACATAGCCTTACCAAATTATCCCACAACCACACTTCAGGTATTTATTCAAATGACTGGAAAACTCCTGTCTACACAAAAATATTTTGTTTACAGCATCTTTATTCATAATTGCAGGAACTGGAAGTAATCAAGATGTCCTTCAATAGGTGAACAGAAAAACAACCTATGGTACATACTATTCAATGAAATTATATTCACTTAATAGTAGAATGAGATGTTTAGGTACAAGGATGTCAATGAATTTTAAATGCATGTGAAAAAAGCATGTCTGAAAAAGCTACATACTGTACGATTCCATTTATGTGACAAATTGGACAGGCCAAATTTCAGAAAGTAAATAGATCAGTGGCTGCTAGGAAATTGAGGTCGGGTAGGGGGAGCAAAGAAGGAAGTGTTGAATAGATGAAGCACAGGGAATTTTTTAGGGTTGTGAATTTTGATCCTATAATGGTGGATATGACTATACATTTATCAAAATTCATAGAACTG